TATAGTACCATTGGCTCAGGCAGTAATCAAATAAGAAGAAGTTGTGCAGGTGGTATCGAAGTCGATGCCGAAACAGAGTAGAGAGTAGATAGACGTAAGTCTAAAGCGGTAGATATACTGACTTATATGGATATACAATCGCCCGGTGAGGGGCGCTAGTACGTGAAGGTTCATGGCCGCAATGGCCATTACTAAAGTAAGTAAAGGCAGGATCCTGTCGTCAGGTCGACGGCGGTGCGATTGAGGCAGATCCACATGCGCTCTTCCAATGAATGTCCCGTATCAGCGTCGCGCAATGTCACCGGACCTTGACTACCAGGAGGAAATAGGCTTATATGACCTGGTGTTTGCGTTTGACAGTGTCGTTTGATGCTCCCTAGTGCGCTTGTCGCGTCCTTTGGTACCCGATGTTGTCACCGACTATCGCATGATCAACGATTTACAATACGCAAAGCGCATAGCCACTCGACAACCTCTACCTGAAGGCTTCGTGGACCCAGTACCGCTCTAATACTTGCTCATAACGCACACCAATGTCAAGGAACGCCTTCGTAGTCTTGGGCGCCGCAGACAACTCGAACTCAGCTTGGAAACTCACATCTTCTAAGCTCAGATCAAACGTCCTGCATTCCGCGATGAAATCCCGAAGGACAGTCGATTTATCCAAGCTCTTGTATCCTACCCGATATCGGCTTTCAACACCAATCAGCATCGTGAAGCTTGTGAGGGACGGTGATAGCAGCTCGGCTATTGGGAGCGCGTTCCTCGAAAAATCAGCATACGGAGCAGAAGCACCGAGCAAGCAGTTCTGAGATATAACCAACTTGCTCAAACGTTCGAATGGTCGAAGAGTACCGAGAGGGTTGAGCGGTACCATCTCCACGTAATCTTCGTCTAAATCAGAGTCCGAGGCCTCCTCCTCTGATCGGAACATGATTTCACGAATATCAAGATGTAGGGATTCAAGCGTATCAGCGTGACGTAAAAGGCTGGCGTACAGGTCGGATGGCGACCCTTCAAAATCCTCCATAGGCATCCATGTACAGACAACATGTCTTAAACCTTCGCATGCCGATAGAATACTGGCCATCGCGTCTATCTCGAGGCGACATGCGGTGATTTCGAGACGCTGCAGCGTTTTCCATGAGCCAAGCTGAGGCATCGATGCTGGCGATCGTGCCACGACGCTACGCGCTCGGAAGTCGGTGAGCATAGGCGCCGTCGATACCACGGAACAAATTTGATCAAACGAAATGGTTTCGGCGTCGAGTCCGTAGTGCTGGAGAGTCGTATTGACGCACAATGTTTGAAGCTTGCTAAAAACATGTTCGGCTCCTGGATTGGGCGTAGGCGAAAGCGTTGTTTCCCGTCCAGGGACAAAGTGTCTCCAGAAGGATCGCTCATGGTCTTCTATATTCTCAATCGACAAGTGTTGTAGGTTGACCGCCTGTTTGACAATGTCGGCTAGCATGGTAAGGTAATGTCGTGCAATGGTGTGCGGAGGTGTGCTGTCGTTCTGGCACTTCTTGTCCATGCGTCGAATCTCCACGTACTTCAGATACTTGTTAAGTTCCTCACCCGAGCCAGAGGAGTCTAAGATTCTTTCGCGAAACAATTGGAGAGGTTTGGTGCCATGCTCGGCGGCGGTCCCTATGAACGAGGCGTACAGGATTGGGGTAGCCATTCGCCTTAGACAACGAGATGTCAGACAGAGACTGTGCAAGGCTAGCCTGCGGATATGATTGTCGGATTGACGGTTTGCCTCTATCGCCACGTTCTTCTGGTGTTCGGTGTACCTGAAGAGCGTGTCGTAAGAGCGAATGGCGTCGAGATGTGTGATTATCTCCTGCACCAGCTCATCTGGTAAGCCCTCAAGCGACGCGTTTTTGGAGCTCATGGTCGATCAGTGTATTTGGCTGCTTGAAGTGCGTGTGAATGAGTGAATGCAATGAAACTGAGGTTTGTTGTTGCATGAGCGCAGAGATAAAGGGCGTCGTGGAAGCTGACAGGGCGTTAGGCTGCCACGCCGCTAGCTCATAAGAGGAAAGGTATTGACTGTTACACACCTGGGCAGGCGCCAGGTAATACCGACAACTCCACATCACGATAGTTACACCTGGGCTGGTGTGTACGTTGACAGGCAAGGCTCACAAGATGTTGTTACATTATTATGGGTATATCGCAAGCTCAATCAAATCCTCCAATCAGCTCACACCACTCTCGTCGTCTTCCCCGTCTCGACATCGTAGATCCACCCACTGAACCGAATGTTCTCCTCGATCGCTTTGATTCTGAGCCATTGTATATCCTTCTTGACTTGAATCTCCAGATCACGAAATGGCCGGAAGTCGAGGGTCTCCACCTCTCTCGCGGCTATCTCTCCCCTCTTCTTCATAACCACGGCTTTCGCAGTCGGGTTGTCGAATGTGAGCATGCCGCATCCGGTGTGCTTTACGACGATGACTTCTCTTGTTCCAAGCAGTTGTTGCGATATGACGATGGATCGGAACGCGTCGTGTACACAGCCGCCGGCGTTGCGGATTACGTGGGCGGCCCCGAGAGGGATGCCAAAGGCGGCAGTTGGGTCGATGCGCGCGTCCATACATGTTACTGACGCGTCATGTTAGCGGCCGACGGCTGGAAATGTGGTTGCAGATGCTTACCGATGGTGTATCTTTGACTGGGTGGTAATGCTAGATGGCCCTGGTCGAAGGAAGCAGCATACGCCTGGTTCCCGAGCTCGAGGTTCCTCTCTCCGTGTGTCGGCATTGTCGGTTCTGGTTATTTTAAGGCGTAAGAGGGTATGATGGGTTTACTGCTGGATGCATCGCCATCCCCTGCGACCTTATATATCGCCATGTCGCCGTCCTGATTACTACGATACGCGCCGGTTGCTTTTCGCACCTGAGGAAAGTTGCGGCATTGCGGGGGTGAATTTCGCCATGTTACTGGCCTGATACAGTTGGCGTTGATACAGGAACGACATGCGACAGACGTTACCGCAGCTGCACGTCTCCGGCAGAATGGCATCAACCCAAGCGCGGTTTCATTGGTCATGTCGACAAGGGTCCTCAGGCGGATCTCAGGCAAAGACGGCAAAGGGTGGGGCAACCCTTCTAGCGTGTCGCATGCGCATCTTCAGATGTTCCATTAATCCCGATCCTTCATTCTTGCTCCCACAAGGCGTCAATGCTTCTTTCTGTTAAATCTACTCTTTACCCTCTTGGGTTCCATGCTCATGTAATTCGGCATCCTGACTGAATCGCGCAGAGGATAGCGTTCGGCCTGACTCAAGATATTCGAGACATGAAGAGAGATGGAGCCGCTCATCAAACCCGGATAGTGGATATACCTTCCAGGAGATAAGAGATGCGTTACCGGACGAACTACTGCACACTCCAAGTCGCCGTCGCCGTCGCCGCGAAACTGGCATCAAGCGCCACTCCCCAATGGCGCAGTAGAAGTCTGACAGACCAACAGCAAACGGCCAATAGACTGCGCGACGTAGACAATTATCCATCGGACAAAGCATTTCAAAATTCAGGTATCATTGCAATGGCCATTCTGTATAACGAGATCATTGTCGAGATATCAACACTGGAGGAGCTAGGCCTGAAACGGAACAGCTTCCAAGACCATCACTCCAAGGACAACGCCTGAATCGCCATGGTGCTTCGACCTAAGGAAGACATCTATAAGCCAAGGAGCTTACCGACTTTCTAGGAAGAAGTCGTCGAATGGGGTGAAGGAGAATATCAATAATATTTACAACTCTACTCCGCACGCTTTGAGGCTGGGTATGACGCTGCAAGAGCGTCATGCCTTACAAATCAACTCACGGCCTCTCATGAGAGCATGCATTTCAACGGATACGTGTAATTTCCTCTTTATCCCCTACTAAACCCGGTATTTCTCAACCATCAATTCATCATGGCCTCTCCGCAATCCCCAGCTATCGACAGCTCGCGCTGGCGTCAACGAATCGCGTCAATCACCACGACATCCAACGAACAGATTCGTCTAAACTACATCGAATGCGCACCACCACGTTTAGCGAGAAACAAAGGCGTCATACTCCTCATCCACGGCTTTCCTCAGACATCATACCAGTTCCGGCATGTGATCACGCCGCTATCAGAGGCCGGCTATCGCGTCATCGCGCCCGACTACCGTGGCGCAGGACAATCTTCTAAACCCTTGACGGGCTACCAGAAGACGCAGATGGCGGAGGACTTGCACATCTTGGTTCAAGAGCACTTCGGTATCAAGGAGAAGATTCATGTTGTGGGACATGACATCGGTGGTATGATTGCGTTCGCTTATGCATCGCGCTATCCCGATGATGTCGCTAGTGTCATCTGGGGTGAATGTCCGCTACCCGGTACTTCGTGCTACGAGAACGTCAAAGGCACACCAGACGTCTTCCACTTTGTGTTTCACCAAGTGCCGGATCTCCCAGAATTCCTGATCGCGGGCAAAGAGCGGGAGTATCTCAAGCACTTCTTCGATAAGATTTCGTATAACAGTGCGGCTATTTCGCCCGCCGATCTTGAGCATTACGCGCTTGCGTACTCGCAACCCGGTGCTATCCGGGCGGGCTTGGAGGTTTACCGCGCGTTTGAGAAGGATGCAGAGGAGAATAGGAATTGGGTTGCTGAACACGGGAAAGTGAAGGTACCGTCACTACTCATGAACGGGGAGAAGTTTATGCTGGCACAGGCTGCGGAGGGTATGGCGAAGGAGTATCATAAAGGTGCGGAGATGGTGACGATTGAGGAGGCGGCGCATTACATTGCGGAAGAGAATCCCGAGGCATTTGTGAAGGGTGTGTTAGAGTTTGTTGCTAATCACTAAGCGCACTCAGATCGTAGACAACTATATAGGTGCACTGAATTACGGCTTCCACATCAGTTTCATATTGACGACGTGATGGAGCTTTCAGTAACGAAACGTACACTATTCACCACCGCGACCCCAGCCGCAGAGACCACTAGCGATTACTACCAGTCTGGATACATGAGCGGGTATGCAACCTCAAAGGGCTGTCTTGGTAGATGGTTCTCACCTGCAATCCATATTGGCTTAGACCCAAAGTCATACAGTAATTCATTCTGGAACCCCAGTCGCTGTTCAAGGTGCAGAGTTTCACCATACAGGACTTCCCTACAAAAGCGAGGGAAATTTAAAGACCCGCCGAATCGGCTGATGTATATGGCAACAGGGAACTCAGGGGCAAACTTGCGCCTGCATGCCAGAAATGCAGAGTATAGCCCTATGCGCTCTGGCTCACGTCTCAAAGGCAGCTGTATGCGGAGTCCCGCGTTTGTCATGTCGTAATTTGGCATCGGGTCTAGACGATCAATCAGACCGGGTGGATACTCGCATGGTTCGTAGCTTGCTCCGTTAGAGAAGCACGACACACTTGGCGCTAGCATGTCGCCGTTGACTGTCTCTGACTCCCAGGCGAAAAGAGAATGGTCAGTACTTGTCCGCAGGATCTCGAGTTGTAGTCGCCTGAAAGCGCTGCTTCTACCCTCTCCGTACAAAGTTGCCATATTCACACCAAAGATACCCATTAGGGAGTACGCTTCGTCTTCCGGTCGCGTTGTGACTCTGCTCGCCGCCCACGACATCTTCTCCGATACGCCCATAGCACTGATGGCTTCGCGGTCTCTCAGGACCTCCACAGCAATGTTGGAGGCTATAGAGACTTGATGGCACGAATCAGCTTTTGTGCCGATCTTTTTCCAGCTCTTTGCGTAGAAAGTCAACTTGAGCGGGGCGATTAGCTCTTGCAGAGTCCACCCTCTTGAAAACCAAGCTGATCTGGAGAGAATTTGATCTTCACCGAGCTCCACATCGTCCAAGTATGCAATGCACCACTTTGAATGGGTGTAGTAACTGTACATCGAGTTGATGGCTTCTGATAGTTCGGCACTGGAACTCTTGTCGATGCAGCAAGTATCGCTCCAGACATAGCTAAGCCCGTGTTCAAGCGCAAGTCGGCACGTCATCTCAAGCTTCGCGTAACCTTTCTTGCTCCGTGCAACACTGCGGTTCGTGGCTGCCATGTCGTCGTACAGAACTTCTTGCTCGCGCCATCGGTGCGAAAGGATCGCGTATGGGGGGACGTTGCTTCCTACAAACTCCGAGAACGAGATCTGTAGGGTAGGATCGCGGGGATTATTGGACTCGATATGAAGGAGCCGCATTTATGTGTGACTAGCGTCGCTAGTATGTAGATAACAATGATTATCGGGTGGCACGCGTTCGTATTACTGAGAAGGTCGAGGCTGGGCAAGGGTAAGTGCGACGTGTCTTGTGCCTCTTAGCTAAGCGGTTCGAGCTCATTGGACGCCTATACGAGACCAATGGCGGGCACACACGGCACGTACAACATGAAATCATCCCGACTAGGTATAGCAGTCCTCCTGTAGTCGCGTGAGCACTACGGTACTCTCACGTCGAACTTCCCCGTAGCCTTCGGCTTCGAAAGCACCCAAAGTATGCCATCATCAACACACTGATCCCAATGCTCAGACGCCTTCAACGCTTTCCCAAACCGCCTATGGCCATGCGGCACGCCCTTGAAAAGCGTAGTAGAAGTCGGCACATTAGCCTCTGACAGCTTCTTTGAAAACAACAGTGCCTCATCACGTAGGGGGTCCAAGCCCGCAATACCAAACACCGTAGGAGGAAAACCCTTGACCTCCTCTTCCGTCGCATTGACAACATTCATCTTTGTGTCTTTGAGATCTACATCCCCGATCTTCAGCAGCTTGGTAAAGAAGTCGATGGTTTTCTTCGGCAAAACCGGTGCATCTTCGTTCTCAACGTAGGATGAGGTTGAGGGGTTGAGTAGCTTGCCTGGCCCTTGGTCGTAGGTGGCTGGGTGGGCGAGCATTGGGATGATTAGGATCTGGCCGGCTATTGTGGGCAGACCTGCGATGTCTTCGCTCTTTCCAAGGTGCTGCTCTAGAGTCAGGGAAGCAGCTAGGTTGCCGCCTGCTGAGATGCCACCGACGACGACTTGAGATGGATCGCCTCCGAGCATGTCGATGTTCTTGTGCAGCCAGACGAATGCGTCATGAGTGTCATTCCAGGCGGTTGGGAAGATGTGTTCTGGTGTATGGCGGTAGTTGACATTCAGCACCAGAGCCCCAGTCTTGATCGCGGTTTGCGCACATAGCGGGTCCTCGCTACTCAGCGATCCTGTCTTATCGTCAGCCAACAGACCTTGATACATCACAAGCCAAACGTGTTACCGAAGATGAAGCCTCCACCGTGGAAGTACAGGTATACAGGAAGCTTCTCGGATGCATCCCTCTTCGCGGATCGATAGGTTCGAGCTTCAATGGTTGAGCCATCGCGGGTCGGAATGGCGTGATCTTTGGTCTGGACATGTGGTGCGAACAATTGCTTCACCTCTGCAGAGCGTGCTTCTCGCTCAGAATTGACCGCATTACGCAGAACGATTGGATCCAGCGAGATGTCGAAAGTCCGGGCGGGCAGTGTCTTTTCCACTGCCAACCATTCATCGGATGGTCCGCCGTACTGAGAGAAGTCCATTGTCGATTTGATGAGAACAGATTTGCTGCCTTGAGTGGAGGGCTTGAAGCGATATGTGTCCGAGATGTAGCCAAACTTCGTACGAGCCTAGCATTGACGCGTCAAGTCCCTTTCGTCATATCTGCGCCCGGTCGCTAGCGTCACCCCGCAATGTACCGAGGTCCTCACATGCATGCCACCAACACCATGTTTGCCTTTTTGGAGCTGCTTGTTGTCGGCGCACCACCATTAACCTAGTCGCTTCGACTTTGGAACCCTTGGCTCGGAGATAACTACGTGCGTTTGCTTCTGAACTGAATAAGCCAAATTGTCATCTGCGAACACCAGCCGGAATAACGTCATATACCTGAGTCCAACAAGATGGCTACAGTGTCCTCTGAACCTCCCACACGCGGACTCAAAGGCAAAGTCGCCATCGTGACTGGAGCAGGTTGCGATGGTGATGGAATTGGAAACGGGCGTGCGATATCGATCATGCTCGCCGATGAGGGCTGCCATGTCCTCTGTTTGGATCTGAACATGGAGTGGGCTCAGAAGACTGCGGAAATGGCAGCCTCAAAACTGCATCGCGGAAGAGCCATCGCGATTCAAGCCGATGTCACCAAGGCCAATGACTGCGAGGCTGCAGTAGCCAAAGCAATGCAAGAGTTCGGCAAGCTGGACATACTGGTGAACAACGTCGGTGTCAGCGGTGCATCAGGAACGGCGGTTGATGTCGACATGGAAGCTTGGGCGAAGGGACTTGAGATCAATGTGAGCAGTATGGTGCAGATGGCGAAGTACTGCATACCGGCTATGCAGAAGAATGACGGCGAGATGAAAGCTAGCATCGTCAACATGGGTTCAGTCGCTGGACTAAAGGGCGGCACACCGCATCTGTTGTATCCGACCAGCAAAGGCGCGGTGGTGAATATGACAAGGGCGATGGCTGCGCATCATGCAGCCGATGGCATCAGGGTGAACTGTGTCTGCCCGGGCGTACGTTCTTCATTCCTGCTGCACAACAACAAATTGACACAATATAGATGTTGTACACACCCATGATGTACGCAGGTGGCATGAGCGAAGAAGCCCGAGAAGCGCGAAAGAGAAGAAGTCTGCTGGGTACGGAAGGCAACGGATGGGATGCAGCATGCGCTGTAACCTTTCTGAGTTCAGATCATGCGAGATGGATAACGGGTGCGGTTTTGCCTGTCGATGCTGGCGCGACAGCCGCAGTGGGCGTCGGTATGCCAAAGAGTGCCAGTGTCAATGGCTAGAGTATGGGGTGGACGGGGTTAGATGGCAGGCAGGAGATGATGAATTTGGTGCAAAACGGGAAAGAACCTCGGCACATCGGCACCCGACGGCTCATTGGCTGGCACAGGCGTCACAACGCAGCTTCAAATCCCCGACACCCTTTCGTGTACTTCTCGCGACAACTACACAGCACTTCCATCCCCACATGGCATCAGTCGTACACACGTGATAGGAGTCTCGTAGTCCATATGAGGAAGGACCACATGTGGGGCGGAGGGCTGCCCGATGCGCATACTCATTTGCACCAATCGGAGCCTTCCACAGACATTGAGCCCAGCGGTCCGCTCCTCTAGTCCTTTCTAGTTTTTGCGCTGCACCCCGGATCTCCGCTAGAGATATCTTGGCTTCTGAGCAGTCATGGTGGTCATTCGTGGAAAGCCGGATGATCACAAAATGTAGGTCGTGGACGGAAGAACTGAGCTTGTGGCGCATGCCTTCAATCTCGTTGCGGCTCAAGACCAAGTGCGATGTCAGATCTCTTATAAGATAGACTGCTACGAACACACTGAAAACCACCAGTTCGACTGCAGGTTTCATCCTCTCTCTTTACCGCCATGAAGTTCTTCCAGTCACTTAGCACATGTGTGCTCGCACTCTCTTCTCTCGTCAGCGCAGCAAGCTTCAGCAACCCACTCAAGCAAACGGATGGCTCAGACCCTCACATTGCCTACACAAATGGCTACTACTACATGATGACGACAACATGGACGAACCTGTCAATCACAAGGGCGAAGACGCTTGGAGGCCTGAAGACAGGAGAGACGAAGGTTGTTTGGACTGACACCAACCCAGACCGGTGCTGCAACATGTGGGCACCAGAGCTGCACTACCTCGATGGTGCTTGGTACATCTACTATACTGCCGGCCGCAGTGGTACCGACAACCTGGATCTCCAGCGCCCTTATGTGCTCAAAGGTGAGAATGTTTCATCGTATAGATGATGAGTAATCTAACAGTCGCAGGTGGTGCGGACCCATTCGGGACATACACCTACCTCTCTCAACTAACAAACGTATGGGGTATCGATGGCTCAATCGTTCGTTTCAGCAAATGGGGCAACTACTTCACCTGGTCTTGCTTCTCCGGCGCCCTTCAATCACTTTGCATCGCACCCATGACCTCGCCTGGTAAACTCGGTGCTACCAAGATTCTCTCTACACCTACTGAGTCGTGGGAAACCAATGGTAGCCCTGTGCAAGAAGGCCCAGTTGCTATGTACCACGGCGGCAAGACCTACATCGCCTACTCGGCAAGCTTCTGTTGGACACCCAACTACAGCTTGGGTCTGCTCACCTGGAATGGCTCTGGTGACCCGGCGCTCAGTGCGAGCTGGAAGAAGAGCGATGGGCCTGTCTTCACCAATGCCAACGGCAACTACGGGCCAGGTCACAACGGGTATGTTGACCAGTCGATACCGCGCGATATCCATGCTGACCACGATGTAGTTTCTTCACCAGTCCCGATGGCACAGAGATATGGAACGTTTACCATGCTACTGCTATTCAGACTGGCGCCTGCGACGGCAACAGGTACACGATGGCGCAGAAGGTTAACTGGAACGCCGATGGCACACCGAACTTTGGAACTCCTATCAGGCCAGGCGCCACACTTGCTGGACCTTCTGGAGAGTAGATTGTCGATCGTAGTTGGCCTGCGATGGAAGCCCTTCTTGTATATATTTGACGTTGCGCGTGGTTGAGATGTACTAAACTTTGTTCCATATCAGAATAGTAGTCGGGATGGTTTGCGCAAATTACTCGTACCACTCTTCGTATCATACCGCATATCTGAGCAGCGATTGGAATGTGTGATCATCGTTGTTACCAGGACAACTGTACCGAGGGTGATTGATCCCAAGCTTGGATCGAAGTCAGCTCATGCCGCTGCACAAGAGTCGGTGATGGGGGCTGGGGACCGAATCGATAAACTGAGCTGACCGGGCCAGAGCCGAAGGTGCGCCGATCATCTGCCTTGCTGTGCACGATGCATGCTCTGGTGGAGGTGTAATATGCTTAATCTAGGAGGTGGGAATAGCAAGATGCTGATGCACGAGTAAACAACGTCGCTGCATGCATATACAAGATGACAAGTGAAGGTGGCAGGTGATAGAGTGTCGGATGACGTCGGGGATGCACGAGTCATGGAATCTGCAAGGTCCCGCACGTGCTAGCGCGTCCCGCGCCAACATGCGTCAGCTGCACCCCGGACTCCGCTTCTGGCCAACTCTATCGCCTCCGCCTCCCTCCGCTCTTCTTCTTCATCATCCATCATCACGGTGTTCAGCTGGCTGGCATCATCAATACTCTCATCAATTTCCAGCTCGATACTGTCAGCTCAGCGATTCAATATGGCTGCTGAGAAAACACCGCTCGTCGCGTCGGACGCGTCTGCACCCGTGCAGCCAAGCCACGTGCAACGCTACTTCAAACGTCAAGCGGTAGGAAGACTGTTTGCCATCGCCGCCACAGCTACACTCATACTCTATGGAATTCCGCAGGGTATGTGTATCGCACGTTCAACTTGTTCGCGACTAACCGATGTCCAGTCGACTATGAGCCGACCGGCGACTATCCAGAGGAGAGCGAGCTATGTCTGACTCCAGCTTGTGTGCATGCGGCCTCAGAGGTTCTCTACAACCTATCACCTCAGTACAAGGAGCTTGACCCATGCGATGACTTCGAAGAGCTCGTCTGCGGTGGCTGGAGAGACCGCCATGACTTGCGAGCTGACCAGGGTGATGCCTTTACCGGCACAATCATGTCGGAGAACTCACAGATGCTGCTTCGCCACATTCTCGAAGCTCCTTACCCCAAAGACTCCGAGGTAAGTGCAACCTTACTATTTAGATCAACCCTAACTAACCTTTCTGTAGCATTCTTACTTCTCACCCATGCAGCTGATGTCAACTGCTAAATCCGCCGATGAGGAGAACTTTGACAAGATGAGAGCGGCTTACGACGCGTGCCTCAACGAAGACAAGATCAAGAGCATTGGCGCTGGGCCTTTGAAGCAGGTCCTTGACGAGATTAAGAAGACGTGCTCTGCCATCGCTTCGGACTCCAACTCGATCAAGGACACCATCCTTCTTCTGGCCAAGTACGGCATCACTGGTCTTGTTTCAACTGGTACAGGTGCCGACGACACCGACCCCGACACTGTCGTCGTGTCTGTTGGTGCCCCGTACAACTTCGGACTACCTTCCAAGGAGCGCTACGAAGACGAGAAACTCGTTGAGAAATACCGTGGTGTCGCTGTTGAAGTTCTTAGCGCGATGTACCCCGACCAGGACAAGGCTGTATTTGAGGGTATCATTGATCTGGAAAAGAAACTCGCGGCAGCATCTCCGAGCGAAGAAGACCGCGAAGATGTCACGAAGTCTTACAACCCGTTCTCGATCGACGACGCGGCTGCGATCGCTCCCGAGATCGAGCTGAAGGCGCTTCTCGCAGGCCAGGCTCCAGAGGGCAGCGACATCAAACGCGTCATTGTCACGACCCCGAACTATCTGAAGGAGCTGTCAGTAATCCTCGCAGCTACATCCGAGGATGTTCTTCAGGCCTACTTCATTTGGAAGGCCGTCCAGTCTCTCTCTGCTTACGTCGATGCGGATGCTGTCAAGCCTTACCGTCGGTTTGTTAATGTCCTCGCAGGCAAAGACCCTGACTCCGCCCCTGAGCGATGGCGATCATGTGTCAGCCACG